CTCTTCTCTTCTCTGCTCTTCTCTTCCCTTCTCTGCTCTTCTCTATACTCTAAAGGATCCCCACAGCCTCAGCCAATCCTTCCCGGAAAAGGATGTTTCGACTGTGTTTTTTTTTCGAGCCTCAGTTGAAAGCCATAATTAAATCACACGAGATGGGTAAGTTGTGCAAATATTTGACTATCATAATGTTTCATTACTTCTCTAACCCTCACGCTTTTTGGTGTGTATAGGTGATACGTTTCTTATGATCATAATTAGCAAGCCTTCTACGTTGCAGAACTACAGTCAAATTCTGCATCAGTTCTTAAAGTTTGTCCTGTCTTGTAAGAAAACGTCGCCAGAAAAACAAAAAGACCCAAGACCAACTAAGAAGTATGTATTTTATATCGTTTTGTGTTGGAAGATTCTGTTAATGCTTATGTTATTTTCTTTTTCTCAGTAATTATGGAAGACCAGCCAGCGTGGCGATCGTCTTGCAAAAAAGATCGTGGTCTGCAAAGAGTCATGCAGCGAAAGGAAGACGAACAGCAGCTGGTCTCCTTTAAAGACATGGAAAGTGTCCTCCAGTCTCCCTCGAGTGCGCGAAGAGGCTAGCTGGAGGGATACTATACGTTCGTTAGCTGTAATGGTTGGCAAAAGGCTTTTGGACAACGGGGGCAGGGCTAGCCTAGTGAAGGGACTCACAGTCACCCAATTCGATCAGCGCGTATTGAATAAAGAAGAGGAGACTTAAGGTGCTGACACATGGTGCAACATTGCACGCAACAGGAATGTTGCAGCGTGTCTACCCAAAACTTGTTGCACGCAACAATTCTGAAGTTGAATCGCGCTCTACTCTTGCAACATTGTGCGCAACAAATTTCATCATGTGAACATGGCTGCAACATTACTGCAACATTTTGAAATTTCCAGCCAATCAGCTTGCACCAAATTTATAACTGTTGACCAAATATCTTAGCATAGCAGGCTGACACAAGCGATGTTGCGTGATTTGTTGCAATGTGTGCCACCCCAATTCAAATTTGTTGCTTGCAATTTTGCACCGTGTGTCAGCACCTTTGTGGTTTTAATTATTAGATATTTGACATATCTGTAATCGTTTATAAGTTTTATATAAGTGTTCTTGCAGAAGACAGGCTCTGTTTACGGTAGTGCTTTCGTGATATTGCAGAACATCATATTTATATTTCCACACTCCTAACTCGATTTCCACCTTCTCTTTTAGGAGCACGGTATCTAAGTCCGACGATATAATTACTTCCGGAATACTAATGAAGAAATAGAAAACGCGCGCGCGTGCTGTGTGCTGTCATAAAGCACGCGGGGATTGGCAGAACACGAGGAAAGTGTCAGGAGAAGCACGACGCGTAGCGACTGTTCTGCCAATCCCCAAGTGCTTTTTGACAGCACACAGCACAGCAATTTTTTTWWATTTCTTTTATAAAATACAAATTACAATAATAGATAGGAATGACGCAACGGAAATTGCGCGCGCGTGCAATGTGCTCTCATAAAGCACGCGYTCCAAACCAATCAGAACGCGACATTCATAAGTTATTTTATGACGACCAAGAGCATTGTTCCAGCAGTAACGCCAAGACCTGTGCCTGTTGAAATAACCAAGTAAGATATTCATTAGAAACTAAAAACTATTTGAGACCATGATTCCTAGAGTGAAGTCATTAAACCCGTGAAATAGATATTAGACTAATACACATTAGTAGACCGTAATTCCATTGTTTTCTTTTGTGTCTATTTGACTATTACACGTTGACTAATACTTTTTATTTCACGAGTTTAATGCCTTCACTCTAATCATGATATGTTTTTTTCCTTTGAAGGCCTGAGAAAGATCGTGTCTCTTGGAATGCAGAAGACAGTTCAAGAATTTAAAGGCAGCTTCGACACAATTGAAGATTCTCCCTGCAAGGATTCTCAACAGGGAGGACTTCATTAGAATATTGCCGGCCATGTGGGCAAGAGAGTAGAGCAAAGAGTAGCAGGAGCGCTGCATCGAAAAAGTAAGGAGTTTGTAGAGATCAGCTCATAATGACTCGTGTTCTCTTGCTCGTCTCTTGGCCCTGGTCTTTCTCTAAAAAAATTAAAGAATAAACCAATAACACAGGCTTTCTGGTCAGCGCTGGATGACAAAAAAGTACCTTCCATATACTTCCAAGGCCTCTTTGAGACTTGTCTCGGAGGCTCCAATAGTGGTGGTGGTGAATGTTGATGATATTAGCCGTGCTGGTTTGATCATATTCAACATGTTCATTTGCGCATTATAAATAATAAATAGTAAAATGGCAAATGCTGATTTTTTTTTACATTTCATGTCAGTGCTATCAAAATAACCTAATTTAAGGAATATAAAACTGGCGCGCATGTCTTTGTACTGTGATATAAACGCGCGGGGAGCTGTAGAACAAAAGAGAAGCAAGCTTAGGAACGACGAGGCGTAGCTAAGTGTTTCTCTTGCTTTGCGAGTGCTCTACAGCTCTCAGGGTGTTTATATCACAGTACAGAGACGGCCAAGCAGCCATTTTATACTGTTAAGAGAAAATTAACTAAGCGAAGGAATCTCTGGCATTCATGCTTGTAACCATCATAGGCACCATTAGCATTCCACAATTATACAGATAACTTTCTACCTAACATAATAGCACTATTGATAAAGAAATAGAAAACGAGCGCGCGTGCTGTGTGCAGTTATAAAGCRCGCGGTGGTTGGCAGAACACGAGAGAAGTGTTAGAAGAAACACGACGCGTAGCGGCGCTTCCTTAGTGCTTTATTACTGAACGGAGCACGGAAAAAGCTGTTCTATTCGTTTTATTATATAGTTACTAATTTTATTTCGATATTGAATTTATTTACCCAAAACGAAAGTCGGTCGCATCAGGATCTAGCAGCATTTCGCGCGCACTGTGCTCCGTTCAGTAAAAAAGCACAGTTTTCGACCAATCATCGCGCGCTTACTATCCTAACTATTGAAAAAATAGAAAACGCGCGCGCGTGCGTAGCAGAGTGCTTTTTGACACTTCTCGAGTGTTCTGCTGATCAGCAAGTGCTTTATAACTCTGTTATTTCTATTCAATCAATAAAGAAAAAAAACAGATGAAATATTAAATACATAAAGAATCTTATTATCCGCTTATCATGTTAAATGAATGGGATCTTTTTCGGAATTGAAAAGGTCTTTTCACTGGATGTGAACTCTTTAAGAATATGACTATTTCACATCCAGTGAAAGAACCTTTTTCAATTTTCTCTGTTAGTCAAAGGTCCCTCTAGCAGTGAAAGGGTTAATTAGCACCAATTGTCTTACTATTCTCATGAGGAATACAAATTTAAAAAAGAAAGAAAATTTGCAAAGTGTTATGGTAGTGGGAGTCAAATGACGCCATCATGCAAACATCCTTTTGTTAGAAGTTCTGGGCAGTAACTTCGTGTACAGGAATTGTCAGGGAAATTCTATTCAAATTCAAATTTCAATATGCAAATGTATTCGTTTAGATATTATAATTAGTAATACTTACCTAGTTTTTTTYCCTACTGTAATTAAAAAGGGAAATCTGAATGTGCCAACAAAGTGATAAAGTTGAGAAATTAAAAGAATTAGTTTATAAAATGCTCATAGACCAAGAAAAATATTGAACAAGAATAACATTGAATACAGGAATACAATGAAATGTTACCAACGATACAAGGAAAGGTTTGTTTTATTCTTTATCATGATTGTGTTTCCATGTCTTGAAGAAGTGTTTTAGTAGGCCATGAGGACCTTGTGAGATAAAACCCACTTTTTCCTTTCTTGTCTGGTGGTAAGGTTTCAAAAAGGGAACGAAAAAATAATATCCATAATGGATAAAAGGGATAAAAAGTTTTCGAACAGTCATTGAAAAATAGACAGTTTTCATGGATTTTTGAGCAAAAAGCATGGACTATAACTCATGGCTTTGTTTGAATTTGGACCATTATTACTGTTCCGAAAATATGATTAATTGCGGCAATACATTGGCTATCCAATTTCAATAAAAACCATGAGCTATAGTCCATGCTCTTTGCTCAAAAGTAGCAAAAATGACCCTCTTTATTCCTTCATAAATAATTCATTTTTTTTCAGATAGATGTGAAAATGGTCCAAAATCAACCAAAACTATGCTCAAAAATAGCCAAAAATGAACTATTTTGCATCCTTGTAAGTAGTACCAATAACACGATGGATGGTAACTCATTGTTCCTATCCACTTGACACCTCGCAAGAATATCCGATGTCGAACGATGAGTAAGTCGTACCAAT